ATGATAAAATCAAATTTTAAACGCTGTATTTCTTTTGCTTTTAAACAATAGTTATATTGGAACACTATTTTAGAAGATTTGAAATTATATAATTAAATTTCCTAAATTGATAGTAAATTGTGCATGAGTGATTTTACCATTGTACGAGTATATATTTTGAGATTGATGCCATGATAGGTACTATTGAACTAGAATAGTCCAAGTCCAATAAAAAATACGTACACATTTGATAGTTAGTTACGAGGAAATGGGACAATTTAAATAAATTTACGGATTTGGAGTTTTAATAAAGACTTTAAATTTATTGGGGAATTCTAATTAAAAAGTCATGACATACGTACCAAGACTGTTGAATAGTATTGTTTTTAGTTCTTGATCACCTTTTTTGATTGAAATGCATGATTAATCTAATGATGCAGGCAGCACAAAGAAGTTGTGAGGTTTGTGGAGGTTCAGGATTAGTTTTACGAGACAAAAAATACAACTTCAGGTGCCCTGGATGCAGTGGCGGACCCAGGAATTTTCGACTGGTGAGTCACAATTGATAACCAAATATGTAAAAAGAAAAAATTTACCAAAATTCCCAAGAAAATTATTTACAAAGATCATCCAAATAGAAAATTGACAAGATTACAATACTAACTAATAATTAACAAGCTTAAAATTGACAAGACTAAAATTAACAAACTAATAATTAACAAGCTAATAATTGACAACATGACAAACTTAGCTCTCTAATAATTAACAAACTAATAATTGACAAGATTAAAATTTGTACAAGCATTAGGTTCACATTTCATCAAAAACCCAACAACATTAACAAAAGGTTCAAAGTTAGTATTTTTTTTTAAAAAAAAAAACTTAGAAAATAATTTATTTATTTATTTTTTTTAAAAAAACTTAAAAAATATTTTGGGCCCTGGTGAGTCATTTGACCCACCAGGCACAAGGCCAAGTCCGCCAATGCCTGGATGTGGTAAATGTTCATTTTTAATACGCAGTAATTTTATTGATACTTATAAACGTACGTAGTAGTAGTTATAATTACATACATATTGTCACCCTTCAGCTGTAATTTCACCGCACCAACATTATTACTTTGACAGGAGGTTTTCTACCATGGCAATCTTGGAGAAGATTCTTTTCTGGATGATTTAGGGGTTGTCTGGTCGTAAATGACATTTAGGAAGTAATGAATTTACCAATGTTTTTGAATTCTATGTCTACATATACATACATGTATACACCCCTCAAATCTAGCTACGGATTATATATTGTACTTCTAGTAGTTGATTAGCTTATGTACTTTGTATAAGTATTGGTTAATGCCGCGATTTTTGCCCTTGTACAATACGGAGTATTAATTATTTTCTTACTCCCATTATGTATTAATATCGCACCTAATATCTCATGTACAAGTATATTGTTAATGTCTATAAGTTTAGTTGATTAAAGTATACGTAACAAAATCTTTATATGCTGACAAGCTTTATATCATTTTTCATGTATACTTCAATCTTCAACCCTTATTATATGTTTGTTGGACCATTAATAATCAGTATTATGGAAGTTAAACGTTAGTCAATTAAGTTAATGGATAATTATCCTGAATTCATCATTAAAATAAATGAATTGAGAAAAGCAAGAGTAATAATTAATTATTGAGGCAGTTGAGCTAGCCAAGAGAAAATTCAACTCAAATTCTTCAAAGAATTCTAGTCAAGCTTTTTACACTGTATAAAATACACGATAAAGTGTTTGGCCAAAAATAGCTAGTGTACAAGTTGAAGTTACATTATTTTTCGGGTGAAAAAAATAGGTACTTCGGCTAGGTCTTTTTTTGTGGATGAAGACTGATCTTGATCCAAGTGATAATTGGGCCGAGGATATCCTGCACAGCAAACACACGTAAAACTAGTCTCCGGGGTTGTGCCGAGAAAGGCCCCTCCGATGCCAAGTCAGTATAGTGTTAAAGAGAGAAAGTTATACAATAGAATTAATTGCTTGAGGCTTTAATTGAATGAATGTAAAAAGAAAATATTAAAGGCTTTTATACCTTTACTCAATGGATAATTGGCCTTGAGATCAAATAGGCTTGCCACGTTGATTGGACCATTGACTGACTTGGCATGCTTTGAAAGGATTGAACCTTCTTTGGGCTTTTAACTAAATGATTTGTGGACCGGCCCAATTAATGTAAACTGGACCCAAACACATTATATATAGAAACCTTATTTTATATTTTGGGATTAAGTAATTAAAATAAATACAAGAGTATAAAATATGAGTAGAATTCTAGAAGTATTAGACTACTATAAATAATAGTCAGTACACGTATAATTTATAATTGACGAAAGAAAACCGCGGAATTATTTTTAAAAAGTCAAAAGTCAAAATTTCTAAACTCGGTTGTACAACAAGTTGGTCATTTTTAGAAACAGTTTTCACAAGTTGGTCATTTTATCCGTTCTCAAAAACAAAGCAATGAAAGTTGGTAGGGCCAGTTTACAACGCAGCTATCTTTTGGTGGGCTTTGGTTGCACGGTTGCATCAATTAATTAAGGAAAGCTAAATGACATTTATTAATCATAATTCAATCAACTTCACTTAAACTTTACTAAAAATATAAGAATATATGTGGACAAATAATACATTTCGTTGTTAGAGTCGACAATCTCTTAATTACTTAAATTTCACTAAAAATATTAGAATATATGTGGGTAAATAATACATTTCGTAGAGTCAACAGTCTCTTAATTACAAGGTTTAATATGACATGACAACACAATTGAAATTTAATTGAGTGTTTTGTCGTACTTAGTACTCCGTATGAAGTATTTGAATATGATAATAACAACAAGATAAAACCTCAAGTTAATCAAACCCTCAAAATTACAAAATGTAACAAAATTGATCTAATGGTTTTGATTTGATCGTGGAATGAATAATGTAAAATGGAGATGGTTTTGGTAAAAAAAATAAATTAATCCTTGTGTAACTTTGTGTATCTTATGTCAATTTAATTGTAGACTAATCTATAATTTCTTTTTTATTCACTTATTTTTTATTTTTTTTATTGACTAGTCGTGTTTGCTGACAAGTAATATTCTAAAGTATATGTTCAAAACTACGAAACATGCACGAGCACTTCAATTGATCATCGTACCCATATCAGACACACGATACATTCTTGTATTTTATGTTTTCATGATACTTTGATATATTATATTATATTATAATATATTTTTTTTAACAAACTTTAATCTTAGTTTATTTATTTGATTATGGTTTAATGATTTTTTTTTTCATTTTATTTGTATATATAAAGTAAAATTTATCAACTACCGTATTATTGTTTAACAAAATCTCCATTTAAGAATATAATACACTGTTATAAGTATTAACTTAGTCGTACCCGTATCCTTTACTTTTAAAATTAGGGTATTACATACTCATTTTGTACACAATTTTGTACCCGTTCAACTTTTTTTGGGCAACCTAGGTAAGGACCATATTAGATTAGAAACACTCATATACATCAGTTCAAATTTGTTCATACTGTATAAGTATTTTTTTTTTTCTTTTGGTATTTAGAGGAGCCACAAGGGCGGAGATGAGAATCGATTCCAGGATCCCCTAGAACCAAGAGGGAGCTCTAACCACTTGAGCTATCCCTCACTCTCTCATACAGTATAAGTTAAATCAACTAGTCTTGGAACATTACTTGATCTCTATTGTCAATAGTTTCAAGCCAATTCATAACAACTTTGGTCAAAATAAAATTCCCTAGTGAATATTCTTCTAAATTATTCACCACATGACAAAAATAACCAAGCAAGAAAATATAAAGTACAGTAGCACTCGAATTTAATGAATGAAAAAGTGCTTGACATCTATTATTCACATGTCAGAATTCAATAAATAAACTAGAAAAGTATGTTGAATTATCAATATTTCCTTGGATTAGAAGAGTCGGTAGTCGGTACAAGGTTATAAATCAAATCATAAACAGAGTAAAAAATTGGAATATCTTATTTATCACTTGTAGAGTGGACCATATCTTTGTTTGTTGTATAATAGGATCATCACTTATTGACCACAGAATTTGCTTCATCCATTTCTTGGAAACCACAGAATTAGAACCCTATGTTTGACCACATGTCACAAACCCACTTACACCAAATGCTTGCCTCACAAGTTACAACATCAAAGGAAGGTGTCAAAATTTGTTACGGAGTAACCCTTCTACTCTGTAGTTGTTTCACTTCGACTTTGTACTTTTATCACGGAGTAAATGAGTAACATGGAGTACTTAAATTTTACCATTACAAATGGTATACTTCTTGTAAGTAACATCCTCTTTAGGGATTATATGGTTGAAGTTCTTGAAATGGGTTAGAATAGATTTAAATCCATTTCATTGGTTTTATTTGTTTGGTTGGACTATTTAAATATGGAATCTCATACTTGGGGGATTCTAACTCTACCTCATTCCCTTGGAATCTCATACCCACCCTCACTCCAAGGATTCATAATCCACGCTATCACTCGAGTATAAGAATGCATTCCATGATTAAACCAAACAACTTTAAATTGGTATGAGATGATAGGATATAGAATCCATACCAATCCTTTACCATTATAAATGGTAAACCAATCCACTCCAGCTTAGCGAACCAAACGATCCTTTAATTTTGTCATAAATGAGTTATGAGTAGTATGGATTACATAAATTTTACCATTATAATGTTTGAATCCATCAGCTACACTTATTTGGGAGTAGGGAGATTCCTTTACCTTTTATTTACTCTCAAGTATTAACTTGTGAAACTAAACTGACTTAACCTATGAGAGATGCTAATTTAGTAAAAAATTATGGAGTATGATCAAAGTAAAATAACAATACTCCGTAGAGAACAGGTATGAAGCAGAAGGAATATTGTACTCTGTAATATGTATATAGTCGTGGCAAAATGGAAATTTTGGTAAAACAACAAGGTTAAGTATTGTTTTAACTTGCACTTCTCCTATAAAAAGGCTCAAAAGAATCCATCTATCTAAGATCTAACCGCGTAAACTAGAAACTAAATTGACCTTCTTCAGGTGAAAACATAACCCTGCAATTAAATTCTTTTGGACTTGAACTTGGCGGCATAGAAGAGAAGCTACAGCTCTAAATTTAACCAAAATTCTGGTTAGTACAAACTCAAAAAACCCATGTTTCTTAATTCATAAGCTTCAATATGATGGCGGTGTTCTTTGTTTTCACCAAAGATTGAATCTTTGTTCTTTAATTGTAAAGGGTTTATTATGTCGGTTGTACCTAGCTCTAGGCATGCCAATATTAGATTTAGGTACACCCGAGTGTATAATAATTGTTGTTATTTGAAGTAGTATGAGGTAGGCTTGAATTTTTGAGTAATATGAAGTTTTGGGTGATTTTATGCTAATTTTTAGCTGGAAATGGGTAGTTGTTTGCTGAATGATAACTGGGTAATTATGTAATTCTAGTGATTGTTCTAGGTTTTCAAGTGTTCTAGGTTTTAAAGATTGAATCTTTAATCTCTTTTCTTTCAGCTTATCTCTAAAGGGGTTCTTGGATTTTGTCAGTTCAATTATGGGCTTGATAAGCTGGATTTTATGCTGAATATATCTGGATAAGATAATTCAATTTGGTGATTACATGGTGATTGGGATTTCAGATTATTTTAACTTTGTTTGGTTGGTTTATTTCCGTGTAATTTTAGGTGAAAAGGATGTTTTAGATTCTGGTTGATGTATCACGATTCTTACAATAATGTCAATTTTTTATGTTCTGAATGTTTCAGGAAATAATTGATTGCTATTATTCCATTTCACTGTTTGCTTATCATGTTGAATAATATTGTTTAATTTCTCCAGTAATTTTGTGAATTGCAAAATAAATTCTGTATAAAATCACCATGAATAAGCCACTTTGATTCCTATAGTTTCTATTACTGTATATACTGCATATTATTTCGAGTTTTCGACATCAGTTATCTAAAGCCATTCTGTTCCTTTGATGCAGAATTTCTAATCAGGAAGTTTGTTCAGAAATAAATTAAGACTCAGGCGACGTTTTCAGTCTTTAAAGGCAAGTATTAGTTGCTGATAACAACTTCATTACATTCTACTTCTTCCAAGATCTGAATCAAGGTCAATATACAAAATGCAGAATCTGAGAAATCTTCAAGGAACATATTGCACCTTTGAATCTTCCTTGTTAAGTGGTGTAGATAATCCTTGTGGATCTCCATCAACTGGAAGCATCTCTGGTAACGGGAGCGCAGCTTCACTTTTCGATCCTGAATCCCCTTCAATTGATTCACTTGAAATTGGTAATCTTTGGCATCATCTCAGAGAGCTCGAGTCTGTCATGATGGAACCTACTTCAGATAACTTTTACAATGAGAATTGGCAACAGTTGAGGGAGATGATATCGAGAAGGGAACTTAGGGAGGTACTAATTGCTTGTGCAAAAGCGATATCTAATGATGACTTGCTGACATCTGGGTGGTTGATTTCTGAGCTACAACATATGGTTTCGGTTTCTGGTGAACCGATTCAGAGGTTGGGAGCCTACATATTAGAAGGGTTAATTGCACGATATTCTTCTTCAGGAATCTCTATCTACAGAGCCTTAAACTGTAAGGAGCCTACTAGCAGTGAATTCCTCTCTTATATGCAGGTGCTCTATGAAGTCTGCCCATATTTCAAGTTCGGGTATATGTCAGCTAATGGGGCAATTGCTGAGGCCCTGAAGAATGAGGACAGAATTCATATAATTGATTTTCAGATTGCTCAAGGGAGTCAATGGATTAGCCTTATCCAAGCGTTGGCAGCTCGGCCTGGTGGGCCCCCACGAGTTCGTATAACAGGCATTGACGATTCCACATCTGAATTTGCTCGTGGAGGAGGACTCAACATTGTCGGAGAGAGATTGTCTATGCTTGCTAAGGCATGTAACCTACCATTCGAGTTTCATGCTGCAGCACTTTGTTGTGGCGCTGAGGTAAAAGTTCAAAACCTTGTCTTGAAATCTGAAGAAGCCTTGGCTGTCAATTTTCCTTTCTTACTGCACCACATACCAGATGAGAGTGTTGGACCTCAGAATCACCGAGATACATTATTGAGGCTCGTTAAGAGCTGGTCACCCAAGGTGGTTACCCTAGTTGAGTACGAGTTGAACACAAATTCAGCTCCTTTTTACCCTCGGTTTCTTGAGACCCTTGAATATTATTCTGCAATTTTCGAATCAATCAATGTTACCCTCTCAAAGGATCGCAAGGAGCGGATCAACGTTGAGCAGCACTGCTTAGCAAAAGAGATTGTCAACATCATAGCATGTGAGGGTGCTGAAAGAGTGGAACGGCATGAGCTACATGGGAAGTGGAGATCCCGGTTTACAATGGCTGGGTTTAAACCATATCCTCTGAACCCACTAGTAAATGCTACTATCAAAAATTTATTGCAGAAATACAGCAGGTGTTATGGACTTGAAGAGAGAGATGGAACTCTTTATCTTGGATGGATGAACCGAGCTATGGTTACATCTTGCGCATGGCAATGAGGTTCAACAAAGTGAATGGAGGTTTCCTAGAGAAGGACTGAGGCATATGATACCTGGGATTCTATATCAAGCTTAAAACTCTTACTCAGGCTGCAATCTTTCTAAAGAGACTCGAATCATAACTATTATGTGTCCAAGGCAGAGGTTCTTACAGTGGAGCTCCTAAATATTATTCGTAAGAGGACTTCCACTTGCAGGGGGCTTCAAGTCTTCAACATTACCCACTTGGAATTTGAAACTGATGCTTTGGCCTTGAAACTTATACTGGAAAGAATGCATGCTCTGATGCTCATCTGGATCATTTGCTTGCTGCTGTCCTCACTGATAACACATTTCTCAACTTGGAATGCAATGTCAACATCATACTAGCAGTGAAGCTAACTCAGTGGCAGATAATCTAGCCAGGTTTGCCTTCTGTATAATAAAAGATGAATGGAAAATCCACTTTGTCATTGTGGAGGGCAATGGAGCTACCTTTGTTGCTGACCTACAGGCTGCAATCGAAGGTTCTCACATAACACGATACTTATCTAGATTTTGACCATTGATGGCTCAAATTCTTCTGTGTTAAATTTTAGTTAGGTTTTAGGTTCTGGTTATGTTTTAGCCTCTTTTCTCCTTCATGAAGCGGTGAGAAGTTTTTCAAGCTTTCCTTTGAATCTGTACTCGTGTACTGGCTTTAGGAAACCCCCAATGTAAAAAAATACAAGTAGCTGTTGCAGGAATCCAAAACTGTTCTGTTTGCTATCCAATTATAATTATTATTTCTAGCTTTTGTACATGATATGTTGGGTGAATGAATTAAATTTAACTTAGTTTAATACTACAACAAAGCAAGGAAGTACAGCATTAGGGCTTTTCACTATCAGATGCTCAGACTTGAAACAAAATCCTCTATAATTTTTAATCGAATCGTACTCTTCACTTGCTCTATCATTTGTACTTTTTACTCTCCCTGCTATGATCCTGCTGATAATCACTGCCCTTTTCGAATTCTTTCCCTTTAGAACTGCTTTCATACTCTCCCTCAGGGCCTCACTGCTGGTACATAGTTGAACCCCGAACCTTTTTGTGTACTTCATGTCAAAACTAGAGCATATAGTCCGGCATAAGTTACAGTAAGAATGATCACAAGGTCCTGAAACCAGCTCTGATTGTCTGCTGTGGCAAGTCATGGTTGTGACATAGAAACATAAGAGCTCATTCCCGTCGACCAAGCTCCTGGGTTGCTTGTCTCCTGTCTCCTTAGCTTTCTGCTTCACCATGTCCCTATACTTCTCAAACTTCTCAAGGACTTCTGGTGAGTTCTTCACTCTGAATACATTTCTGATCTTCGAGATTTTCTTTGCCGGGTTTGTTAAAGCATCTCCAAGGATCTTTTCAATGACTTTCCTTGATGGGTCTCCTATACCTATTTCTGTAAAATGCAAATTCAAGTTAGACTTACATTTCCCTATAGTGAAATATCGAAACTGATGCTTAGAAGCAGTAATTTAAGAAATCTGAAGCTAACACTTCAATAATTGACAGTAAAACATTTCCTAACCTCTAAAATGACATCCTAATTCATGACCCTTGAAGCCTCATAGATTATGAATTAATGGTGTAGTACTCAAATTCTTCATGCTCTATCCAACATTCCAACCCTTTCAACCTGATTCGACTAGGAGCTCGAAAAACACATATCATAGCTATACATGTTGAAGAGAACATAATACGTCTCCCAGCTTCAAGCTAACATTTTTCAATCATGATTGTCCCAGCTCTAACTTAAAGTATAACTTTTAATACTTTTCCCTAAACTATTTATCTGTCAAATTCACATTAACCCACTTTTTTCTCACTAGAGTTGTATTTTAATGTGAAACTAAGTCAAATCATTAAAAGTTACTCAAAATCTAGTGCTGAACACGCTCTATATGTCTACCTTGTTTTGAGATCAAAGGATTGAATCTACCACGAGTTTTATTTATCAAAAAAAAGTAGGGATTTCTCTTATCCCCTCTCACCCCTTCCCCTTCACTCTCGAGGGTTAACCTATATAGATGACCCTTGAGGGGTCCGGTTCAGTAAGATCCTTCATTTTATCAACAGAAGAAAAAGAAAAGTTAGATGTATCACCGGGATACCTTTGAAGCTGCTAGAAGGGGCAGTTTGCTTGTAGCTTATAACACTCTCCATAACTTTATTACCAATGAGAACCTCATGTTCATGCTTATCCTCCTCGAGTAGGTCTAGGCTTCTTTGCTTGGAGAGTTTCTTTGGCCGACAAATGACATCGTTCATCTTGCTCCTACAACTGTTATTCAATGAAATCCACATAGCTTGCATTTTAATCTCTAGCTTCCCTCTGCCTTCAACCTGCATTTGTGGTATGAAATTATGAATGTGTTAAATTGAGAGGTTAAGATTACCAAAACTTGGCTAAATTGCATCAGTTTGTAGAGTAGAAGGAAACCAAAGGGATAAAAACAGAAGATATTAAAGAATTTGTACTTTTCATATAATTTGCCATTAAATTCACCCCATTGAAGACAAATTTTTATTGTTTCTTTCTTGAGTAAGAAATAAAATTGGTACATGTTTGATATACCATATCCATGCAAAATATTTTTGTTTACTATAAGGTAGGACCTCTTTGGATATAAATACTAGGGACTATTTTTGGCTTTTTGCTCTTCATATTCACATGTTAGTGTGTTACTTACCTCCTGTCTAGCATGTTGGTCTGAGTGTGTTTTTATGTCTGAAATTATGAACGATCACATTAGAGCAACTCCAATGATTGTGGGAAGGGATTGCGAATATTTTAAATGTAAAGCTTGTAGCTATACCAGTGTTGCACAACTTCTTTTTCTTTTTTGCGATTGTTGCTTGAACACTAATAAACTTTATAGCGGTGGCTGGACAAATATAAATCCAAGTACAAAATTATTATTATCATAATAGTTAGAATAGTCTTCACTCAATTAAATCCTAACTCACCTAAGGAAATAAAATAAGAAACTTTACTGTCTATGTAAGGGTCAATGTCTTGATGTGTCTAGACGTAATGATTTATGGCTACAACATAATATGTTGTGCGATTAGCTTCCCAACTAGAGAATTATACAACAGCAATCATAACTATCAATTTTGCTAAAAAAAAATATCCAAAATGAGACCAATGGTAAACCTCTCAGAAGGTGTATAATTTATAGTTATTCTCGTCTGAGTTTTAGTTGTTGATTGCATTGAAATTTTTTTCGTAAATGATGTTGATAATTACGCCACAAAAGGAATTTATAGTTTATGATCTTCTCATTGAACTACAAACAGTTAATCACGTTTATGTCAATTTCGTGTGTCAGACATGTATGTGCTGCAGGTGTTCTAGGAGTATTTAAGTTGGACACTTGGATGGTGTGTTCGTGCTTTCTATGGTAAGCGGAGTGCTAACTGTGCAGCCTGTGCTACTAGTAGTAGACGTGCTTTGACAAGAAGGGTTTTGTTTGGAGGGGTGGCGAACGACTTGGCAGTTGAACTGTTAAACCTATCCTTTTCTCTTGGGACTTGCTGTGGTCCTGCAAAACAAAAGTGCTGGGACAATTTTAGATGGTTACTCTTCAAATTTACAGGTAATGTTTTGTATGGTACGAGTAATTGGCAAGCGATAAAACAAGCTCTATTTTCTATCCCGAAATCACAAAGAAAAATTGTATCTCACAGAAATATAGTACGGAGTAATAAGTTTTTGTGATCAAGGTCCGAAACAGCAAATCTACTCAACAATTACTCTAAAAAGGGCCTTTTTTTTTCATTCATTTCAAACAAATATATTCTTGATCTCTATTGCTCGTTTACAACAAACTGTACACAAGCTCTTGGCTCAGCTGATGAAATTAACTGTCTTTTCTGGTTGTATAGCCAGTTGAAATGGAAAATAACCATTAGGAATAGCTAACAAGCAACGAGAATTTGATTCCACTAAAATTGCGATACCTAGCCATCCTAAGCAAATAAAGATATAAATAAAACATATAAAGAGAGAAGAAAAAGAAATTGTCATATTTTCGATTCCTCTTCTTAATCTAGGGACCCATGAGTATTCTTCCCATGTTCTGCTGATATGAATTAGTTGATGAGTGATTTACAGGCTGATTTCCAATACTATGCCCTTGACTATGGTTTTCCCTAGAACCATACAGCACCATACCACCATTTACATAACCAGGAAAAGTCGACATTGGATTTTGTTGAAGCAACAACAGATTATGACTGCTAAACTGGGGCTGACCAGGTAAATGCTCACCACCCATAGCTTGCTGCTGCTGATGACCAGGGACGAACCCAGAGCCTGACCTAATACCCACACCAAGATCGAGGCTTACTGCATCATTACCTTCACGTGACCCCATCCTTGATGCCATACTTTGTGCTGGTGGGGCAGCTGTGTCGTGACTACTATTCCGAGCTGTAGGTACTTCGTGATTGTGTTTCCCCTCATATGTTGTTATGACAGCTTTTGGGTCATGGGATGCCCTTTCAACATGTTTCCGAACTGGGCATCCAGGATGAGTGCACTTGTAATAACTCCTGCATAAAAAAAGAATGGGGGACAGTAATGCATTTAGTAAAGTGGAAGCCCAAAGTAAGAGCCAGAAGACTCTTTAAAAAAAATTTGCACAACACTTTCTGCAAAGAGATAAGATAAGACTGCTTTCCTTCCCAGGAAAAACCCTAATATAAGAGTGATTCATATTCTGAGGCTTCAGCCCCAAAAAGGTAAGAAAGCTCATGCAGTAACAGAGAGGTGTCCAGTAGATCTTTCAAGTCAAACGCGGCTATTTGTTAATTTACAATGACACAACTTGTACTGAAATTTACTGCTATATGCTAAACTTATGTATCCAGCACTTAGGTTCGAAGTTCAATGCAGTTAGATTTTCTTTGATTCAGTCTTAAAATATCTCTCCCTCCTCTGTCCTTCCAATAACCTCCCCCTTCCCTTCCATGCCTTTCTCAGTTCTCGAATTCATTTCCGCCAAACAAAATCAAAGAAGAATTGAAATAGGAGAGTAAAAGCAAAATTAGAAGCAGAAAAGAAGAATAAAATCTTGCAAGGATTTATAGAATTATTTTTTTTTTTTTTAAGTAGGATGTTCTAATCACTTCATTCAGTTACAAAATTCAGGGATATGAGAATGTAAAGGACAAAATATAGCTTTGTTTTTATGGATTAATGAGAATGCAAAGATAAAAAGAGTTCCTTGAAAAATTACAAAAAATTGAACCATGGGGGGAAAAAATATTGTGGTGGTGGTGAGAGTGGTTCAAGCCCTGATCTTGCTGAATCGCAAAATGATTTGGGCCTAGCCAAGCCAAGTGGAATGATCGTTTATCAGACTATTCAACGGGATTATTAATATGTTACAGGGATTATTAACCAGAAAACAACCTAGGAGAGAGAAGGGGGAGGGATGAGGTATGTAAGGGAGAAGATCACCGAAACATGGGTAGGGTAGGGAGATCATCAAAAAAACTCAAAACAGATAGCACCTATAATAATTTGCGGCCAACTGGCCATAACAGAAGCACATATCTTCTGAGCTCACAAAAATCAGCTTACAATTCATATCTAGTAGTTTAGCAATCGGGTCCTAAATTTTATGCTAAACTTTGCCGTTATATCTACTAGTTTATCAATTGGGCCCAGGGAATTTAGAACTTTCTTCAAAGTAGTAAACCAGCAAATCAACATGTATTTCTAATGTGAAAAAGCATGCAAAAGTTTGAACTTGGAAATTGGTTTCATAATCATCTTGTCCCTGCATCAATGTAACCGTGTCTGATTTCAGGACAATAAATTTTTTACCAGGCTATATCTATACCCAGCACACCTATACCCCCATGTGCCATTCTGACATAAAACTTATAATTATGGACAATTGGACATACAATTCTTGGTTTATCATGATAATGTTATGCTTTTCCTAATTTGCTTATCCTTACTACCTCGTTTCTTATCAAAAAATTGAAGATGTCCCATTAGGAAAGCCATATAAAGCAAGAACAATATCAAGGCTATAAAAACCTAATTGTCATCAGCAAATTAAGTCATCTTTATTGTTCTCTTCATGTTCTGGAATACACTCTCAAAGTCAAAGGCAACACTGCCCTTCAGCACTCTTTAAGGACTACTCCTCCAAGGCCAATAATTTTATACTCAACCTCGGTTTTACTCGCTCTAACTAGATATCTGAGATTTTCAAAAAAAAAAAAAAAAAAAAAAAAAAAAAAAAAACTAGATATCTGAGCTCCACCTGATAATTGCTGCAGTTTTTACCAGTTCTGATTCATTTAACGTTCTGTAATCAACAAAGATATTATTCATAACCACATCCACAAGTGGTTTAAAAGCTCTACAAATTTCAAACTATCCCCTACCCCCCCCCCCCCACACACACACACTTCCTCTGTCGGTCATGTATTAGTTCATCCAATTATGTTGCAGTGCAATACTCTACCGTAACCTTTGACATCTAAGACTGTCATTACACTTGAGTTATCATACAGTATTCATTCCCAGGCAGAATTGAACTTGATGCAGACATTAACTCTAGCGCTAATTTCAGCTGCTAAGTCCTACAATTCATCATAGCTTATATACTAAATGCCTAGGTCTATTTATTAGTTTCATACCTGTTCCCCAGTGATTCATAACAACTAGGCAAGGCAACTATTTAACCCATTCAGTGAGTTGATACAACTTACACTTGGTCTAAAAAGAAGGAAATGGAAGGAAAAGAAGAGAAGAGAAAGGGAGGAGGACAACTCTTGTTTGGGTAAAAGATTGGGGGAAAGAAGGGGAGAAAGGAGAGGGAGGGATCCATTTTCCCTTTCTCTTTAACAAGCATAATAATCCCTTATAAATTGGAGAGATTTTGAGGGAAAATGGAGCTCACCTTTACCCTCCCTTTTTCTTCCCTCCCCTTCTCCTCTTTCCCTCTCATCCTTTCCTTCATTCTTTGATATCCAAACAAAGCGTTAAAGTCTCTCTATCTAGAGGAGGTAAAGTTGAAAGACCATATCTAAAATTGACATCGTTAAGAATATGTTGTTTATGAATCTTCCTCCATTTTCTTTCACATTTCATATATATACTCCATATACTTTTCCCCAATCCCCACCACCGATAATGGTCCTTGGGCTATGGGGTTGCAGATAATGACTGTATAGATTTTATTTCAAACACTTGCAGATAGAGGCAAGCTAGAGAAAAAGGCACTGTAATAAAGACACAGGAAACAAAGCTACGTAGCAAGATTGTGCAGATAGGTTCCTATCAAAAGCTCAAATCCCAACAATAGAAACAGCCTCCCTGGTTTTGAACAAAACTGCCGGTGAAAAAAAATGAATCATGTCAAGCCAGGGTTAGGCAAAGCCATTTAGAAATTCACAGACAATGCCTTTTAAAACTGATATATAAAACCACATGC